AAACTTCTGTTTCTATACCAAAACAAGTTTTGCACATTCTGGAATTATTGTCAAGCAAGACTTCTAATGACCGTGTGCCGTACCATATTTCTAAGGCCAAATTACATTTTTGATCCGTCATTTCGGTTACGGTCATTTAATTTTGGTAATTCTAGTAACGGAGTTTTGTTTAGGGAGCAAGTACATAGCACGCCAAGCTTATATATTTTATTCCTTTCAATTTGGTACAGATTTTCAAAATAAGCTGGCACTGTATATCTGTTTAAGCTTTTAAGTAGAAAGACTATACAATAAGAAGTGATATTTAATGATGAAAAACATGTGTTTGTCGTGTTTAATAGGTCATGTATTTAAGAGTATTAATAATTAAACACAAATTCAAAACACTAATCCACAAAAAGCATAGTTGGATCAATAGTAAATACCACTTTGGTTGACCTGAACTTAGCATATGCAGCATTTAGTCATTGACCAATTGGTTGACCTGAACTTAGCATATACAGCATTTAGTCATTGACCAATTGGTTGACCTGAACTTAGCATATACAGCATTTAGTCATTGACCAATTGGTTGACCTGAACTTAGCATATACAGCATTTAGTCATTGACCAATTGGTTGACCTGAACTTAGCATATACAGCATTTAGTCATTGACCAATTGGTTGACCTGAACTTAGCATACTTGCTTTCCCATCAACTTCCCATGATTTCAAACAGTTTGCAATTCTCATTAAGTGGGCGACAGCTCAAAACAATTGGTAAGGATTAATATTGTCATGTGCACAATCTCTACACTTTTTAAATAAAAAAAAAAATTTCTAAAACACTATTAAAGAAAGATCAATCGACATGAGTATCAATCAGTGTTCACATATAAAGTATACATTGACACTTTCTGAGTACGTAGTAGGACGGAAAAATGGGTCAAGGGATTACAATGGCCAACCCTAATGAGAAAGGAGAAATATTGAAACAAGGAAGCAAACAAGTTCAACGTTTGTGTTTCACAAAATTAAAACAAGATTGTACTTTTTTTGGGTAACATGCGGTTTTCCACACCAATATGTACACTACATACGTTGTTTTTGCCAACCAACTAAACTCTATGCATCCCCAAAAGCCAAATTCAACTCTTGTTCCATGGGTCCCTAGTCAAAACTCTACTTCTTCTTCTTCCTTACAAGTGCCAACTATTTCAATCAATGCAAGATTCAAATTCCTGCAAGCGGCATTGATGGACTTTTAAACAACAGCCAGAAAACGTTGACACAACCAATTCTAAAAAGGTATTTTTTGTCTACTTGTAGAAATTATTGAGATCGACTTGTTCAAGGGGAGTTCTTAAAATCAAGGCGTTTCCGACATGGTCAACCAGATAATGTAGGCATTTAATGTGACAAGGGAGGCATAGAATTGGTCGAACAAAAAATAAAACATTTTTCAACTCCTTTAACCTTACCTAATAAATGTTATGGGATTCACGATTGTTAAGGGAGTTGAAAATAAAAAGTTGACAAATTTATATGTATGGTTAAGACTAGGCTTAATGATTGTTTTACCCCTATAATGGACACTCGGTCTCACTTTATCCCTTGAAAATGAAATTTTCTCACTTAACCCCCTGAATCTCTAAAATTTCATGAAAATTTCTCACTTTACCACTTCCGTCCATTCTGTCCACAAAATCGTTAAGTTTGCCTCTCTCTCCCTCTTACCCTCACTCTCTTTGCCTCTATCTTCTCTCCCCAACCCAACCTAACCCTCCCTAGAATTACATAACCCCGACCCTAATTTTGTTTGATAGTCTCAATCCACTAGATTCAAGTAAGCTTTTGTATTGAAATTGAAGGAAAGGGAAGAGGAAAGTGGGGTGGTGATAGGGGGAAGGCGAGTAAGGTGGTGGGGCTGGGCTGGGTGCTTTGGGGATGGGGTGACTAGAAAGGGAAGAGGGGAAAGATGGAGGTGAAGGCTGGTGAGCTGATGGGACGGGAAGTAAGGGAAGAAGGGTTTGTTAACCATAAAAAATTTCAAAATATTAAAAATTTATTTATTTTATATATTAAATTTAGATTTTAAGTTTTTAATATCTAAAATTATTAAAATACTCATGCCACGTCAACACACTTAACGATTTTGTGGACGGAAATGGTAAAGTGAGAAATTTTCATGAATTTTTAGAGATTCATGGGGTTATGTGAGAAAATGTCAGTTTCAGGAGGTAAAGTAAGACCGAACGTCCGTTCCAAGGGCAAAATAGTAATTACAATGATGTTATTAATCTTTAATAATAAAAAATTATATCATGTTGCCAACGAGGTGTAGCCTAGTGAAAAAAACATTGACTTGCAAACTAATGGTCTTAGATTCGAACTCCATGACACCTTGGTATAGTGTGTATGTGAAAAACCCAACACCTTTTATAATTTAGACTATTGTTTAAAAAAATATTTTATGTGGTGTTGTAAACTTATTTGTTTACTTATTTATTTATTTATAAATGACATGACCGCTGTGTGCAGGACCACCATATAAGTATGAGGATATTACGACTGGCATATGCTGTTATGCAAGGATGATGCACAACATGATGTTATGAAGTGGTCGCCTCATATAACAGTAAAGTTTAGTTAGGATTTTTCTTATTTAATGTCAAAATTTGAAAGGATTTAAAGTCAAAATTCTGCTATGCTTGCGTAAAAAAGAGTCAATTCTTTTTTATTTATTTATATAAACGATATTTTAATTTAATTTAATTTAATTAATTTAAATTACTACTTGGACAGCATGTCTGCAAAGAATCACCTCTTCACAAACGTGAATTTTTCTTTGACTAAAAAGTTGAGGCATGCTAAGACCCCGACTTTACTATTTATATTAATGGCACCCTCTATGACTATCACTTTTTCAAGTTTTTAAAAAGAAAAAACAAAGATAAATGATAAAATAATTTATGCTTTCGTAGTTTTCCTCATTGTTTAGAAGTCACAAAGGATTGATGAGCCCTAATCTCAGCGTGGCATGCATTGATTGAACAATTGGTTGACCTGAACTAGCATATATATATTAAGCTTTTCTTGGTTTCGCATCAAATTCTCATACCTGCCCTAATTTACAAGCAGTTCATCTTTATTCCTTGCAATTCTCATTAAGTGGGCGACAGCTTAAAACAATTAGTTTAAGGATAAATATTGTCATGCGCACAATCTTTAATTTTTAATTTATTTCTAAGACACTGCTAAAAGAAAGGTCAATATGGACATCGGTATTTATGTCCGCAATATACTGCACGACACTCCTTTCCTTTAATATATTGGGCGTGAAAAGTCCAATTCAAACTCTATTTGCGGGGCACAAATACCCATCTCTGTTAATACCGAAAGTATACATGACATTTGAAACATCGTATCTGAAATAGAAATCCCAACAAGACTCGTCCAAAAGTATAGTACTACTAGTGGCAAGGAAAAATGGGTCAAGAGATTACAATGGCCAAACCTAATGTGAAAGGAGAAACATTGAGACAAGAAATCAAGCAAAATTTGAAGTTCTAACGTTGTGTTTCACAAAACTAAAACAAGATTCTACTTTTTTTTGGGTGACATCCATTTTTCCACGCCAATGTACACTGCATGCATTGATTTAGTCAACCAACTAAACTCTTATATATACATCCCCAAAAGCCAAATTCAACTCCCCTTCCATGGGTCCTTAGTCAAAAGTTCAAAACTGTATTTGTCTTCTTCTTTCTAATAAGTGCCTAGTATTTCAATCAATGCAAGATTCGAACAGCCAGAAAATTTTGACAGGTTGGATCCAAGCGCAAGAGAGATCCATTTGTAGTCATCATCACCAGCATAGTGGCCCTTTGATCTGATTTTAGTAAATAAAAATTTTCATAAAAGAGTAGATTTGATGTTCTTAAAAGATTCAAGGTTTTTTTTCTTCATATGGAATTTTATGGAATAACAAAATTGGAATGTGTGCAAGAGTTGAAGGATGATAAAAATAAATAAAAATGAAACTCGGATATAAAATAAGAGAATATTGTGCTTAAAAACCCTAATTATTTATAATAATAAAAAATAATAAGTAAGCACATGATTGAATTTGTGTGGTATTGGTCTTTTGCTGTGTCAGCCTCCTTCTTGATGACCCGTTCTTCGGGCACAGCTAATTTTCTTGTCTTCGACTACGTTTCATCTAGAGCACCGACGTGGTAAAACGTCGATGACGTCATTGCTTAGGTAAGCACTTAAAAAAAACAACCCCCTAGCTTACGCGCCCAACTGTCAACCTCCAAATCAAACTCTCCATTTCTAAAATCCCCATGACGTGGGTTTTTCTCTGCCTTCCAAATTTCTTATACCCCCTTGATGTTTTCTGACGTGGCTTTCCACTCTCGACTTCAAACTTGGGTTTTCTGTATTGCCTCTTTGGTGGGACTTCAAATTCCGTAAACACGTGTTTTTCTGTAGACAATAAGATAGAGACTTGAGAAGAATCTTTGGATGTTCAGTGTGTGAGATTTCCCAACTTCCTCAACTTGGACATGTTGTTTTGAGTTGAAACATATATTATTCCTAAAATATTCTAAAAATATACGGGGAATAATTAGGCTATTATATAAAAATTTAAAATAATTTATTCAATTTTTTTTATTTACAGTTTTTTTTTTTTCAAATAGAATGTGCAAAATACATATAAAATACGCAAATAATATGTATATTATTGCAAAATATTCGAAAAACGGTTATTATTAATACATTTTTGTTATAATTTTCTTTTAGGTATTTATTAAATGCTACGTTTGCCTTGCACTCAACTTGCTTAAGATTTTTTCCTCCCCACTTGGAAACCACACCGCCCAATCTATAATTTTGGATGGTGAAACCACGTCTTACTTTGACCATTGAAAATTTTGACCTTCACCTGTACGTCTGACTTTCTCTCTGTTCAACCTATTTAAACACTTCTTCCCACTGCTTTTTTCTTCATCCACAAAAAACAGTCACCACCACGTTTTCAAAATCGTTTTTGCAAACAGACAGGCTTAAGATCATCATGAGTTACAGTTCAGAAGAAAGCAGCAGCAGCCCGGGCACTGGACAAAGGAAGTTCAAGGGGGTGCGCCAAAGAAAATGGGGCAAGTGGGTGTCTGAAATCCGAGTCCCGGGGACGCAAGACCGGCTCTGGTTAGGCTCTTTCTCATCCCCGGAGGCGGCTGCGGTGGCCCGGGACATTGCGTATTATTGCCTACGTAGGCCGTCGACATTGGAAGGGCTTAACTTTCCCTTGGTGTTGCCGTCTTCAGTTCATGCTGATATGTCGCCGAGGTCTATACAGAAGGCAGCTTCGGATGCTGGCATGGCAGTTGATGCTCAGTTCGTGGCTAACAGGTCACCGCAGGCAGGTGGCGGGCAGAGCAACAATGGAAGTCATGGGGTTGAGAGTGAGGTTTGGGAAGACATGGGAGAGAGTTCTAGGTCCAACTGGGGAGGGCATATGGGATTTGGCAATGGCTGTGAGGATTTGAGCATCTCCATTGAAGATTATGATCTCTAAGTCTGGTTTTGGGTTTTGTCATATGTATTAGAGATTAATTTAGCATGAAGCTCTTAGATTTTAAGTTTGATTTCCTCCTCTCTAATTTCACTTGTATAAAGTCTATGCTCAAAGTTCGATTTCCCGCTCTCTAATATCTCTTGTATAAAGTCTATGCTCAGGACATGGGGTGATGATGATTTCACGGAAAGCTAGTTTTGAAATTAACACAAGGCTTTGACCAAAAAAAGAAGTTTTTACCAATGGCATGGGCAAAGGCACGTGCCTTTATTATGATTTGGAACAACTTTAACACTTCAGCTAGATATTTAATAGATATACTTTGTTATTTTTTTTTTTGTCGGAATATTTCTTATAGTAAATAGTAAATTTTAAGAGTCAGGTTTTAATTATGCAGATTGAATATATGTGATTAGAAATATATATATATATATATATAATATTTTTTTTATTTAGATGTCTACATGTTATTGTCATATGGATGCCATTATAAATAAAGAGAAAAGCAGAGAGGAATAATCGAAAATAGACGGCATCTTAATGGAAGCATAGAAGAAGTACATAACCAGAATGAATTATCAGATAGTACGAACGACAATTAGGATGGAATATGGTGAACCTTTTAAATATCGAAGTCAAGAAAAGCCTGAACCTTAATAAGATGGACTAGCTGACCTGATTATGAGGCTTTTTGACCTCGTCAATCAATCTCTCCAACCAAATTAAATAATCAATACAAGGTGGATTTTCACTTCGATCAGCAACTACAGGCCCATCCGTGTGGCAACCATAAGCGTACCCAGCCTTGAGGCATTCATGAAAACAATAAAATCTAGCCTTATTATGGAAGACTTTCATCAATCTAAAGTGTATATTGAAGGAAGTTGAGGTTTCATTTTAAAAAAATCAATTGATAATAGGGGAGTAGTCCAACTCCTTATAAGTCCGTGTAAGGTTTTTTAACTTTCTAATGTGGGACATTTTTACCTTCATATTCTCATACGCCCTTGTGTGTGGCTAATTTTAAAGCCTAACACGTTGACAACATATATTGGATGACGTGGAGCACGTGTGACTATTGGGCTTCCACACGTGGACAAACCTAGTCTGATACCATGAAGTAAGTTGAGGTTCCACCCCAAAACCAATTGGCAATAAGGGGAGTAGCCCAACTCCTTATAAGCCCTTGCAAGGTTCTCTAACTTTCCAATGTGGGACATTTTCACATTCACATTCTCACACATATACTAATATATGGAATCATAAGAATGGAATCTATTTATACCATTTAAGATGATTATATGCCTACAAAATTGAGCGGACAATGGGTTACAAGACTATATTTGGGTGGGCTATTAAGCTTTCATGGGATGAATAACATTAAATACATGTAATATATTGTAATTTTTAAAAAGGCTACATGGGCTAGAGCCCATGGTAGCCCACTACCTAGTTTTGCTAGTAGTTCCAGCTGGTACCATGACATGAATGGCATGTAACGACCCGTCTCGAATTTTAACGTACTTATTGATGCTACAAAACACACATGCCCATGACTAAAAAAAGATTCCATTGTAGAGGGTCTACTTACCGTACATAGGTTGAGCATCTCTTGATTGTCTTAGGCTCATTATCTTCAATCTCTAAAGATTCACACAACTTTCTTCTCTTCCAGGATTCGTTGTGCTTGCTTTGCTCCATTTTCAATTAGAATCACTTGATGGCTAATTTGAAATTCCTAATTTCACTTTAGTTCTCCTTTTTTTTAAATTGAATTCTCGAGAGTTAATGTCTTTGATTACCACTAGATGTTAGTTGGATTGGTTTAGGCCTTTGGTATGCTCCCAAATGGGTCCTAGGTTCAAGTCCCCATTATACCCGTGTGTGTTTCAATTAGAATCACCTGATGGCTAATTTGAAATTCCTAATTTCACTTTAGTTCTCCTTTTTTTTATAAATTGAATTCGCGAGAGTTAATGTCTTTTATTACCACTAGGTGTTAGTTGGATTGGTCTAGGCCTTTGGTATGCTCCCAAGTGGGTCCTAGGTTCAAGTCCCATTATACCCGTGTGTGTGAGTCCCCTCCCCCCCCCCCCCCCCCCCAAAAAAAGGCCTTTGAATAAAGGTGGTTTTCACTTTGCCAAGTGACCATCTCAGATTAGTGGGAAAATGGCCACCTGAAATGAAAGGACTAAAATACTCATGCCACGTCATTAATTATGACGGAATTTAGAACGTAGTTGACGACATGGGGCAAAGTGAACCATATAACCTTAGTCAAAGGGACAATATGAGTCACTTTGAGTTTGAGGGAAGAAGATTGAGATATGACTATTGCCATCCACATAAAGAGGAAAAAAAAAAAAAGCCAAAGCAAGAAGCATCTTTTGCAGCAGAAAGAGTTAGAGATTGATTGAAATTTTTGGGGCTTCATAGTTTTTGGTCATTTTGGAGCTTTATAGTTTGATCCGCAATAGTATGACTTTATTTTATCTTCTTTTTCCTTTTCTTTTAAGTTTTTTTTAAATTTCTATTTTGTGAAAATGAAGTCTACTCCAAAAAGAAAAACAAAAGTGTTTGACTTTTAAGAAAACAAATGAGTATTAGATTAATTTGAATGAAAGATGTATACGTTGACATGCTATATCTGTATCAGTTAATAATTTCTTTAATTTAACAGGTGTGAGAAAATTGATTGACAATAAAATTTAATATGAATTTGAGGACCAAAATAAAATTCCAATATAAGTTAAAGGACTATTTCGATAAAGAAAACCCTTTTACAAAAGTTTTCTGTATCCAACATCTCCAACTGACCAAACTAAGGTTAAGTTGAAAATAATTAGCTGTAAAGTAAATCAGCTCCATGTTTGGTAAACAATATTTTTAAAGTGCTGTTAGTACAAAAAGTAGTGTCAAAATCGTTTGGTAAATTTTAATATAAAATTGTTGTAACTGTGAATAATGACTAAAATAGATAGGATCTTAAAAGTGCTATGTACTAATCATGTGGTGATAGTGGTAGTGGTAGTGATGGAGTGAAGGTGGTGGTAGTGATGAATGTGGAGTTGGTTGTTGTGGTAGTGGTAGTGGTGGTGGTGGGGATGACGGTTGTGGAGGTGGTGGTGGTGGTGGTGGTGGTGGTGGTGGTGGTGGTGGTGGTGGATAAGGTGGAGGAGGTGGTGGTGGCAGTGGCGGTGGTTGTGGAGGTAGTGAATGTGGTGGTGCAAGTGGTGAGTTGGATGTGGAAGTAGAGGTGGTGTTATTTTTTAAAATGAATGATGGAATTTTGGGAATTAAAAAAATTCACTAAAGGTTCATCTTAGCTTCTTTTGAAAGCAGATTTGAAAAGTAACCCAGATCCTGTTTTTAAAAACTGCTATCAAAAGGCCACTGCTTTTAAAATAATCGGAATATTTTATTTTTACCAAACACCTTAAAAAAAGCAATCCCAAACGGGCCTAAATGGTAATAAGAAATTGAAATCTAAAGTATACAGGTGTCATCAGAATGGAGGTACATTTCATAAAACAGCAATTGTAGCGGTACAGCAATTCATGCAGGAAAATCCAAAACTTCTTCCATCCGTCAACCCAAGAGCTTGCCACCAACACGTGTGCTCACACCTCTCATTCCATTTAATCGATTGTGGTGTTCATCATCATCATCATCTGCCACTGCGGCACTGCTCTCTCTCTTGATCTTATCTCTTCCTTCATATTAGTTTGCATCATCATCACCAGTTACAAAAGCAAAGCCCTTCTCTTGCATTCATTTGTTGTAGTTAATAGGTTAGAGCTGTTTGGGTGTGGTTTTTGAGGCTTTTTTGGGGAACCAACCAAACAATGGATTTGTTGAACTCGGTGCTGAATTGGGTTGTGCCACCGGCAAGTTTAGTGATGATGGCGTTCGCTTGGCCAGCATTGACCTTCATCTCTGGTTGTGAGTGGCTTTACAATACGTTCAACAGTGAACCTATGGAAGATAAAGTGGTTATAATTACAGGAGCTTCTTCTGGCATTGGGGAGGTAAGTCTCTCTCTCTCTGCCCTCCAACTTTTCTAATTTTGTGTTTTTTTTTTCATTAATCTGGATAATTTTCTAACATTTTTCAAACTGTTATTTATTTGTATATTTAATTTTCTAATTTTATTGCTTGTGAGTGGGATCATTGTATATTGATAATTTTTGCAGTTGAATATATATAACAAGAGTTGGCCACTATTTTTCAAAGCCAACCCAACCTAATTCTTAGCCCAAAGTTAAATGGGCCACTAGGTGAGTCCTAGAAAAAGTTGGCCAAGCTTGGTTCCATTTCATTTAGAGAGTTTTTAAAATTAAGTACTTGAATTTTTCAGTCTAAAAAAAACAAACTTGAATTGTTTAGATTAAAGTTATAATTAGTTACCCCAACTCGGTGTAGCCGAGTGGAAAAAGCAAACCAGTGTTCTCAGGTTTGAACCTCATGACATCTTTGTAGTGTGAGAAACCCCCCTCTTGTAGTTTAGACTATTTCTTCTACGAAAAAATAGAGAGTTATAAATAGTTATTCAATTGGCCAAGGTCCTACAGACTGGCCCCATCCTGGTCTGTGGTAAAAAGTTGATACAATCCATTCTTTAGCCAATTTAGTTATCCTAGGTTTTGTGATAGTAGCTCAAGTGGTAAAAAACATTTACACTCACACACATGAGGTTTTACGTTCTATTTCCTCTCCCCTCCCCCAATATTACTTGTATCATATGAATGTGGTTTTGTTTTAAGAATTACAAAGTTTTAAATCTACGCACTAGATCACAGATTTTGGTAGTTTGATAATAGTGGTTATAACTTCTAAGTGCATGATGCCTATGATTGCAGCAAATTGCATATGAATATGCAAAGAGGAGGGCAAAGCTTGTATTAGTAGCAAGAAGAGAGAACAGACTGCGCCTGATCAGTGAGAATGCAAGGCATATGGGTGCAAAGCATGTCATGATTGTAGCTGCAGATGTTGTCAAGGAAGAGGAATGTAGGCGATTCGTTAATGAAACCATAAACTTCTATGGTCGAGGTACTCAAATTTTTTGGACCTAAGTTTGGTAATTGAAAAAAGCCATATTTCTTACAACCAAAAGTTTTATTCTTGCAATCACAG